TTTTAACGCTGAACCCCATCATTAGGGATGCCCGTCTATTTTTAGTAACACTACGTCAAAACATGGCTGCCCACTACCTGTCTCCAAAGCCCTGTATGGCGTCATGTAGCTTTACTTAAAAGGTTTTATTTTTTTCTTGGTATAACGTTTTACGAGCCACAATTTATCCTAAAAAAATTGCAAAAGAAAACCGATGCAGTTTGGTTCAATGATAAATATGTCAGACAAAATCATACTCAAAATCGGCCATGACAAAATGCCATGATTAACAGAATTTAATTTGGCGTTCTTCAGGAATTATCGGAGAGCGATATTATTATTATTATTATTACAACATATTTACAGTGCCCCCTTTCATATAACATGTTCAGGGGCACTTTACAAACTGACAATGTAATCATAAATAAACAACGAGATTATGGACATGTTAACGATTGTATACAGAGTCAGTTAAAAGCCTGATTAAATAATCAGTGTCTTTCAGTGGTGGGGGGATAAATAATTTTTAAATTCCTCAAACACAGAGTGGTTATGCAAGCGAAATAAGTCGAAAAATCAAATTTGACAAAAATCAATTTAAAAAATGTATTTTTCATTTAATGGCGGACATTTCTTTCAAAATGACTGCCAAATTTGGTAATATAATACCATTTAAAATAATAATAATAATAAAAACAACATTAATTTGGTAATAAAAGGGCAGCGATAATCTCAAAAATGTAATTTCGAGAATTCTTGATGGTAGATATTCAAAATGGCCGGCAAAATGAAATCCAAAATGGTGGAATTTTAATTAATCGTCATTTCTTTCCGTTGGGGAGAGATGGGGGGGGGGGGGTAACGTCCACTCGACACAAACTAGGTCATTTCGGGACTAACATGTTTTTTTTTAAATTTTTTATTTCAATAATTCGCTTGCGAGTAGAGGTCTTTAGCAGTGGGAGGAAACCAGAGGACCCGGAGAAAACCCACGAGGTTGGACAGGCGACCCTACTCCTTGTCACGTACAGCCGGGGATTTGAAACCACTCCAGCTGATACAAGACGCACGTGCTAACCATTCAGCCATCCAACCCCTCAAACGATCTAGATACAATAGACTTCAAATTCCAATCGTAGCTTTTGCTAGAGGGCAAAAGGGTTTTAAATTTTTATTTTTCACTTTAAGCCTACCCGTCTGCACAATAAAATCTGATTTTTAAAAGTGTATGCAAGTTAAATATATTTAATAGCGCGTTTATCTAGTGTATCTTTTATTTCATTTTCTTATCAATTAGACTATATTATTATAACAATAATGTGCGCTTTTTGTTGCATTATAATAATAATAGTTTGTTCAGATATACTTTTCGTTTCAAAAATGTATGTTTTATCTCTTTTTTGCGGAATTCTACATCCTTGCCGGGGGCAGCTAACTTCGACACAACAGTATGATAGGATATCGAATATAGTGAGTAGGTACATACTTGGGACCCAAGATGAGGTCTTTGTACACTTAACGTCATATTTTCATGACGTCATATGAAATTTATGGCTTCACAGTTGTCGCAACTTTATCTATATACGGCTTTTCCTGTCTCTAGTCAGAAAAGGAGTGACGTAGGAGCGAGTCAGGCGTATTAGAGCAGGTTATCCAGTCTAAGCTCTGAGTCGGAACAGTAACATTTTTTTTTTTATATATATAAAATAAAAAAAACAATTCTTTTTCAGAAAATAATAATAATAAAACAAAACATGTTCATGAAATAATAATTATAATAAAAATAAATAATAATAATGAAGATAAAAAAAATAAAAATAAATTTAAATGAAAAAAAAATAATTAAATTTAAAAAAAGAGAAGGTAAAAGAAAAAAAAAAATACAATTAAAATAATGTAATTTAACAACAATATTTCTTGTTTTAAATAATGAAAATAATATAAATTTAAATTGTTTTTTTAAATGAATGAAAAAAGAATTAAATAAAAGATAAATAAAGATATTAAAATTTCATTAAAATAATATGTATTTGCTATGGCAACCATAGACCACCATGCACAAGACAACGGTAGGGCCGGTCCTAAAATTAACTATACAATTGTTAACAAAATCTGATGACATTGTGGTATTTAAAACAAAGACATAACTCTTTTTGTATCCATCGCTAATTTGTTGTTCTTTAAATGCTGCGGGGGGGGGGGGGCGGGGGCGGGGGGGGGGGGGGTCCGAATGGTTAGCACGCGCGCGCTGTATCATACAGTCTGTCATTGAGTCAACTGGCGGGGTTTCGATTTCCCGGCTGTACGTGACAAGGAGTAGGGTCGCCTGTCCAACCTCGTGGGTTTTCTCCCTGTCCTCCGGTTTCCTCTCACTTCTAAAGACCCCTACGCGCAAGCGAATTATTGAAATAAAATTAAAAACCATGTGTTAGTCCCGAAGTGATCTTGTTTGTGTCGAGTGGACGTTAAACCCCATCTCTCTCTCTCTCTCTCTCTCTCTCTCTCTCTCTCTCTCTCTCAATGCTGAGTCAGTTTCATTATATATTATTTATATTTATTATTATTTACATAGATGTTTATCCACATACTTCACATTATTTATCACCAATTTATGGTTCTTTGGGCAATATCTATATTTTTTATAGTATGTACATAGGTATAAAGTGTCTACTTATGCCTTACATAATATTTGCTTTAGGCGTCACAAATGTGGCTATAGATAGCATTGACCTCCAATTTTTTACATTGTTATATTATTATTATTGTTATTATTATTATTACGCATTTCTATAGCGCACAACTGGCGTTGTCAGATGTTATACGAGCGACTTTTGGCCCTATGCCGTCAGACATTTGATAAACAAATCAGCGTTGATGTTTCTAGCGGGTTACCCACAGATCCGTGCACCTCACGCCAAAAATTCGCTAATCCCTCACATCATCCAATTCCTAGTGTAGTAAAGACAAGTAAAACGAAAATTTGAACTATAAAAAACGAAACGAAATATGATCTATGTTTTAATCAGATTGAATATTTTTTTATATTAAAAAAGAACGAGAAGAAGACTTTATTTATCACCCAACTCTTTATTACACGCACAAGTATAATAAAATCAAATTCATGTAAAGCCAATATAATTAAAATACAGATCTATATTTCGTTTCGTTTTTTATACTTTCGATGGCCTACACTACATGTAGTAAAGACAAGTAAAATGAAATTTTGAACTATAAAAACGAAACGAATTAGGATCTGTGTTTTAATCAGATTGATGTAAAGCGATCTAGGAGAATATGAAAGTTGTCACACATGCGATATCTACTGTAGAATGTGTTTTTGGGAGATACTTATAAAGAGCAACAGAAATGAAATGAAATGGGGTTTAACGTCCTACTGTTCTACTCCATACTGGTCTAATGAAGACGGGCATACGTCATTCAGTGTGCGATGAGGGAAATTTTGCCTGGACAGCGGCACTACGGCATACTCTTATATCGAATTCCATAGGTCAAGGGATATTTTACGTGCACGTCCATGTGGACACGGGACCTCGGTTTTTCGTCCCACCCGAACGACTACACAGCTGTCCTTGTCAGGCCCTCCGTCCTGCATCACTGACAAGGGGGAACCACAGTGGGCTAAGACTAGGGTTTCGGTTAACTTATGCTGGGTTAAGTCTAGTGTTACCTTCTGAGAAATACGACGTTCATTAACAGACCCGTAGCCAGCCTGCAGGGTGCGGAGGGTAGGAGAACTAACTTTTTTTCTTTTTTTTTTTGGGGGGGGGGGGTCTCCCCCCGTACGAAGTGGGTACCGGGATCCTCCCCAATGACTGATCATGGGGTAGCCGGGCCCTGAGGCAGCCTAGCTGCCGGACCCTAGTGACAAGATGACAACCTAAAGGAGAGGGGGGGTCTCTCCTCTTGGGGTTTAAGGGGTACGGGAGTCCTCCAACCGAGAAATGTTTGAAATTTCGACCTGAAATGGTGGTCTTTGGAGTATATCCGGGCGGGAAGTCATATACATGTATATGTTTCACGATTTTTGTGAAATGGGTCTTCATTATTTTTTCTAACAAAATATAAAAGAAAAATGATTTTGTTACCATATCGTCCGGCCCCTTCGGAGCCCGGGTCAAGGCATTTACCTCTGTAATATGGAACTGTGTGCAAGGTGCCATATCCCCAAATTAATACTACACACGATGATCCCTGACTGCTGTCTATTACAAAAAGTAGGTATTTTTAGAACTATGGTCGGCAATTTTTTCGGGGGGGGGGGGGGGGGCTTGCTACGGGGTTGTTCATTAACGGCCTAATAATCACGTCCTCTCCTTCTAGATATTTAAAGAATATTTCCAACATGGTTTATTTTAGTTACAAATAAAATTTATGTATTATATGAAATACAGATAATTTCCACGTTCTATCTTTAGGTAGAATTATAAATCTGTAACTGTATATCTCAGTGATCTTTGGGGTATATTCTATGCCCGGAATAACTTACGGTCTGGTCTGAAAGTCTGGGGAGGTTTTCGATATATACAGGGAAATTTGGGGTTATTCTTCTGAAAGTTTTTCTTTAAACCTGTAACGGGTTATTCTTCCAGGGTAGGTTTTACATAAGAAAACATGATATAAGGTTTTTCTTGTGGGAATTCTGGGATATTCTCATCGCGCGTACATGTAAACATAGACGGTTTATAAGCAAGATAAAGTCCTCGACTTCGGTTATGCTGGGGAAGAAAGACTTCAGAAAAAACCCTCGACAGAAAAACCTCGGCCTACCGGCCTCGGTTTATCTTTCTCTCGGGGTATTTTCTTCAGTCTTTCTTTGCCCAACATAACCGCAGTCTCGTGCTTTATCCTACACATACAACATACAGTTACGTCTTTAAACATTACTAATAGGATGTAAACTAAACAGTAAATTGTGGTGTATGTCCCGAATATTATACATCGTGGTTGTATTGCCGTTTAAACTATACAATGAAATGTAATATAGATTAAATTCAACTCACCATGTGAAGGTGTTAACTTACATCCAAGGACAATTAGTATAAAAACCAACTTTCTTCCTTCCATAATAAACTTATAACACATGTCTAACCCTGTTCGTTACTGTTTTAACCTATTTTTATACCAATATAAATAACACATACATAATTATACCATATTATCCATATCAAGAGCAAAAACAAAACAAGAAAAGACTTAATGTGAATAAACACAAATTTAATGTTAAAATTTCATCGGTATCCTTAACATAGAAAGGATGCCTTAATATAATTTTAAAATAAAAAAAATAGATAATCGAGACTTTGCATATTATCTTATCAACGGTAGTAATGAAACTCGAAACTCTTATTCAAAGCACGTTTACTGGACAAATATACAATAATGATACGAAATTTTTAAGAAAATATAATAATTTTATTTGAATCCCGAATAACGAAACACATTCTGTCACTTTAAACATCATTCAAAACTTGAATTTCGAATAACAAAACACGCCCTGTCTCGTTATTCAAGCTCAAAAAGGAAAATATATTGTTTTATGACATATAAGTGTAAAAAGGATTGGGGTTTTTTTTACTGCTAGAGCATCCTCCTTATAAATCAATGAGATGTAAATACAAGTTTACTTGACAGATGAACAAAAATGGACTATAATGATACGATTTTTTTTTGTTTTAAAAAAAGATAATTTTATTTGAATCCCTAATAACAAAACACATTCTGTCTCGTTATTTGTTATTCAAAATTTGAATCCCTAATAACGAAACAGGTTCTGTTTCGTTATTCGTCATTAAATCACCAAACACGATTTAACTTCATTTTCAAAATATTGAAATTAACATTAATAATTACAAGTTTACGATATTTGCGTTTCAGGATTTCCAACGCAAATATCTTTACCAAATACTGCGATAGTATAGGAGGAAAATGAAATCGCTTACAATCACACAGTGGAAGAAACAGCGAGGTGGTTTAACCAAGATTTAGTTATACTGTTCTGCTGGAGGATAGAAGACAAAAAAACAATTACTTACCATAAAACTTTTAAACAGCTATAAATTAAATATCCGTGAGGTTTAAAGCTTGTCGATGACCTACATGTATTAATAAATTAAGATGTCCTCTATTCTGTCAAACATATGAATAACAAGATTGTATTACCAACCATACATCACTGCATTCATTATAGTAAATACACACACATCATCGCAGGCCAGTATATTTTCACACCAAGGCTTAAAGCTGAACTCCGATTACAGAAATAATGAAATAAAAAAGTTAAAGCCCTAAACAGTCCCCATAATTGTTTTCAGTTTGTAGAACAAACATGGCTAAGTTGACGGCGTATAAGAACAAAGCAGGCCACACCCACATCCAGTATATGCCTTGTCAAGCACAGTGTCCACATCCGGCTAAATATATTTCAACAAACACACGCTCGACTGGTTTGGTATTTTTTCAACTTACTGAAAATATTATTGCTACACAATTATTACGTCTGATCAGGTACATATTATTTTACTAATTATATGAAATAAGCCAACCACGACATACTTTTGCTCTAAAAAATAAGAGAAAACTGTCTTACCCCAAACAATAACTATGGCAGACAATGTACTCTCAGGTTCACCACCGACTTAATTGCGTCACAAAAATAATACCTTATGCCATTGTACGTACCGCCACCAATGTCAATTAGTGCTTCAATCATTTTAGCAGATTTTAGAGTTACGTATCATTCCCCAGACTTGTCTCTTTTACTTATTGCTTCAACAGCCTTGGATGAATCAAGAGCCAAACATATCATCTTAAAAATCGTCGGCTATAAACCATTACCTTTTTATCTAAGGTAACTTTAACTGTCCTGGAAACGACATCGTCATCAATATCACCATCTTCGAAATGCTTCAAGGTCACAAGTATTTGTACATTAATAAATATAGCATATATGGTATTGTTCTTTATTACAGTTTATGACAACTGTTTTCAGTTTATGTTAATAAAGTTTGATTTATAAACATTTGATTTTATAGTTTATTTGTAAGATGTATGATACATGTAGTTAATGTTTGCTAAGGTTGAGTAATTCACAATCACATGCCTGGTTGCATGGTATGATTGCATTGCCTGCTCCGTTGTCGTTGTTTGATGGTAGCGAATCGCGCGGTGGGAGATATGACTTTATGGATTTTGGGAAAAACACGTATTCATTGGCCATGTCATTCATGAATGATTCGTAGATATTTCAATTAAATGGGTGTTAGACTGTGTGACTCGTTGGTTTGGACTGTGTGTCTTATAATGGTAATCTGTGTGATTAATGAGTAATATTTAGTACATATGCTTGTAAGTATTGTTTGACTTTTGTAATGTTGATAATCGTGAAAATTTAGAAATATTTTGATTATTTGTTAAACATTGTGTTGTGTTTTATAGGTGACTGGTTTCTGTTTTTGTTACTGTGACCTGTTAATGTGTTACTGATATTGTTACTGTGATCGTTTCTGTTCCAGTTATTTATTTTTACGGTGATTAACAGATAACTCATGAACATTGTCATCTTGAAATCATCTTTTTAAATGTGCCCCGGAGAGTCAAATATTGAATAATGGTTGTATGCGCGTTTACCACACGTCAACCCATCAACATAGAAATATGGTTCGTCGTGTTTTGAATTAGAGAGTAATTAAATAAATATATATTATAATTGTATTGATATATAGCAGTTGTATAAAGATATTTTGTTAATTAGATTTAATCGCTAAAAGGTTAAATCGTTTTATCACAGTAATCTGAATTTATTTAAGAGTTGTCCCTCTTGAATATGCCTTTCTTTTGACGTCACGTTGTCAATCAGCAAAATGAAATGAAATGAAATGGGGTTTAACGTCCTACTGTTCTGCTCCTATGCTGGGCTAATGAAGACGGGCATACGCAATACAGTGTGCTATGAGGGAAATTTTGCCCGGGCAGCGGCACTATCGCCTACTCTTATATCGAATTCAAACTGCCAAGGGATCTTTTACGTGCATTCCAATGTATACACGGGACCTCGGTTTTTCGACTTATCCGAAGGACTAGACAGCTGTCCTTGTCAGGCCCTCCGTCCTGCATCACTGACAAGGGGGAACCACGCCGGAAAATCTGGATGAACTTTCTCGGCCAATGCAGGGATCGAAGACTCGAACTTGTCAATCAGCAGCATTTAACGTAGAGTTTGTATGGCCATTTATTTATTGCAAATTTAATTTATATGTTCTTTTTTTTCAATTCCTGGTTTTGGTTTCTCACCGAATAGCCCCTATTTTAAACTAAAATGTAGGGTTATTATTGGGGATGGTTCGGGGTAGATCTATGTGCTAGTATTTTTTGGATAATGCTCTCGGCATCGTTGGCCTTCCCATCAGCCCGGGAACCGCTCATTACGGACTTTTCAAGCCTGTAGTATAATTTACATATTTGACAGCCAGCTGAAAATGAATTTGTATGGCACATTCTAACATAAAGTTATAGCTACGCACCGCTGCTAGCCTAGACAAATTGTGTCCCACTGTCAATGTAAATGTTATGACAGTTGACACCCGAAACGAGGTGGGTCGCTGCACGAATTGGTTAGTATTAAATATGTTAAGCTTTCCCATCTTCTCGTGATACTTTTTTAAAGCCCAGAAGTAAAAAAGATATTTAAGTATTGTTTAATGGTGTAGCGCGGGACATTAAGTAATATATTGTAACAACAATATCTTACAACAATGTCTTAAGCTCGAGGCCATTAAACAACTTAAAATACAGACACTTGCACGTGCTTTGCAATGAAATACGTCACTCGGGTTCAATATTTTAACAAGTTACGCTTGGCACATTGCCTGTACGATTATTTGAAATAATGGTACGCCAACATCAAAGGATGACGTCACATCTGTATTTTAAATGTGCCAAGACACGATCAACAATCTCTTAGAAGAAGACAACAGGACCAATCAAATCGAAATCAGTGATGTCGACAGCAGTTATGGAGACGCCTTCTAGTTCTAACACTACTAATAGTACATCTAGGCCTACAAAAGTTCAGGTCTAGGAGTGTCACGCCAGTGACAACATTGCTCCAACTCAGCCAGCTTTAATGTCTGTAATAAGTTCTCTATCTTCTGGTAATACAATTCAACTAGTAGAAAGCGGTTCTAATGAGTTAGGGCTACACGTATCCCATACTCTAAAGCAGAAAATTATCAACGGCGATTATGTAGATCTTTGTCAACTTCTCAGTAGATCCCCTCAGCAAACTGATCCGGGATCGCCGGTATTTATTTATTCTGAGGGTCATTTGAACCCTCTGGCGCACCTATCAATGACATAGGCCAGTGGACAGACGCCTTTATTGTTTACATTAGTTTATACCTAACCGGCCATCCACGGGCTGTCCAGTGCTTATTAAAATATATGCATTTGATTCGTCTTGGCTCGCAGCGTGTTACATGCAGGTCTTGCATGGAAATCGTATGACGAACAGTAAAGGCTCAAAAGGGCTACAAACCCAACCACTTCATTGGGAGAAGTTGACCAGGAGCTATGGCTCCTTTACATGTATAGCAATATAGTTCGATCCTTAATGTAAATCCGTCGTCGACATTTACAACATGTTCACATAATTAGCATATTTTCAAGAGGGCGGCCATTTTTTGCGGGAAAATGTGACGATGTGAAGATTTTGATTAAGTGAAAGTGTTTGGTGTCGATATATATGTTTTCGGGATCAGGGGCGTAGATCGCCAAAAATTAGTGGTTGGGACAGTCCATGCGCGGGCGACTATTGGTAAAGAGGTGGGTTCGGGGTCCTCCCCCGAAATTTTTTGAATTTTGAAAACTAGACGCTCATTTTCTGGCAAACAATTCTAATCCCTGAGGCAGCAAATCTAATCTAAAGACAAATCTTTAAGCCACCGTTCACGATTCATTCTCTCATGTACACTACAAGAACTAGAAATATTTACACTACTGAGATTCCAGCTCCGCCTCCCTTCCCAGTATAGTGTTCGAAGGCTACGTAAAGTCTTTGAGCAAAATGTGTATTCAATTGGATACACAAATGTACAGGCCTACAAATCTTTTAATTTATATAAACTAAAACAAGCCGCACACACAGCTAAACATATCAATATCCAATCCCAATTGAAATAAATGTAACATTTTACTGTATTATTCATTGGTGATTAAAAATCCGATGGCAAAGGCGAATTTTCCCACGTTAAAATTAAAAAATGGCGACCACATTGAAATAATAACTTTTCGCTTATTTTTAAAAGTTAAATCTAGCTGTTTATATTTTCCCATAGCTATTTTAATGATTCACATAGTACCAGTTGTATTATATTATCTATTTTGAATGTGACAGTGGTGATGTTATGTTAGAAATTACGTGTTTGGAATTTTATAATTTGCGTGATTTATCATCCAGTATACCAGATAAAAACAAAATCTCAGTTATTTAATACCCAGCGTATCAGATATGCACATCTACATGATATACATATTATTATAATCCCTATGGAAAATTTTAATTATTTACTGTTATAATATGAATTATCACATATTCTCTGTTAAATAGAAATCGGTCACCGGGTGCAGCTGTACAACTTTAAGGGCCCTGGCCTCAAGTGCCTGGGACCAACTCTACACTTTCTGAAATGTCAATAAAAGCTCTGGAATGATTTCAATTTCAAAAAATAAACAGTAAGCAAAACATCGGAAATAAGTGGTGGGGACACAGTATATCATGTCCCCACCACTAAAAATATTGGTGTCCCGGTGTCCCCACCGGGAGCTGCGCCCATGTTCGGGGTCGTGGATTCCATTTCTAACATTTACAACCTTGTGAATTGGTCACATATTCATAGACATATTCGCAGATTTTGATGAAGTAGTAGTATTTGGTGTCAATGTATATGTTTACGGGGGCGCAGAATTCATTTCTGACATTTACAACTTTGTAAAATGATCACCTGTTCACATAATTAACATATTTACAATACTGTTTCCACTTGTGGCGGAAAAATCAGACGATTTGCTGATTTTGTTTAAGTAGTCGTCTTTGGTGTCAATATATATGGTTTCGGTGGAGGAAATTCGATTTCTGCCATATACAACTGCGTAAAAAAAAACTTATGTTCACCAATTTAACATTTTTTCAAGTCGGCGGAACGTTTTCTAAACACGTTATTATCATATATTTACTTGTTTTCTAAACACATTATTATCATATATTTACTTGTTTTCTAAACACATTATTATCATATATTTACTTGTTGGTATTTACAGGTTTCTGCGTCCAATTCTGCTACGTAGGCTATTAGCTTGTAGCACATTCCTGAAAGCCGGTACCGTGTCTTACCCATTTGGTATATTATCCAAGGATCAAAATTAATGATTCGAGATGAGCACTGAACTGATATCGATTTTCCTGAGAAAGAAAGGCTATTCACTTGGTTTCCTGGCATAAAGGCAAAGAGAGTGTAACGTAGCAAGCATGTGGCTAGGAACTTCGTTCCTGTCTGGTGGCAACGTGGTTGAAGGTAGTGGAGACGTGACTGTCAATAAAATACTTGCTAAGAAGCCCCCGTGACATACATTATGTTATCAACTGACTTCCAAGCTGGATGCCGAACGAGCATGTGGAATGCTGTTGCGTTGGAAACATAAAGTATGTCACCACTTACTCAACAATGTGGCCGCCTACTTATCTCTGCCACCAGTTCTTTCAATGGTGATGTCATAGATGACGGGTCAAGTCGTCGTTTAAAGGACAATATTGGTGCCAGTCATTATCACATATGTGATAAAACTGTTTAAACACGTTCCAAATATTATTTTATCACAGAAATCATTGCTACAATAGATGTGTAATCAAAGTTTCAACAATCGGAAGTCACGAACGCAAAAGGAAAACACGAGTTACCCTCTATATAACTGACTGAAGTGACAGGTGATAACAGATACATGGGCGAATTTCTGCTCACTAATAATCCCTTCGAAGGCCAAAGTACCATGTCATTCATATCTGCATCTGTAAGAAAGAACTATATAGCATCATCTCTTATCTCGAGACACGAAGGATCCAGAGATAAGGTTTCTTATCTGAGTTCTCACCTAAAGACCTCTAACTTATGTTAGAACACTCAATGCCTAACGTCTGTTTTCTAAATATTCGGATATCCAGTTTTATATGTATACATGAAAGAAAAACCTCAGGTGTTGATAATCGAGGCTATTGGCTAAATAGGTTACTCACGAAAAACATGATCAGGGACGCCAAGTTTCAAGCTAATGCACCATTGACAAGGGGAACAACGCCGGAAAATCCAGATGTAGTCTCTCGGCAACAAGGGCATATCCGGGTCAGGTTAGCCAACCAACCCCGACCCCTCAAGACGGACTATGTATGACGTTGATACTGTTACGCTACCAACCCTCCGGCTGGCAACCAACGAATTCGCGGGCGTTCTCTAGCTGTATGTGAAGACCCCCTGCAACACCCCAGACACGAACAGATAACAGAGTACTTTAATTAAGAACAACACAAACTTTATTACCTAAATATATAAAATAATTAATACAATATTTAATAATTAATATTTAATAATTGAAATGTACATCGAAGTTGAAAAGTTATACTTGTTTCACGTCGTAAATTGTTAATTGTACCGGTACTTAGTTTTTGAAGTGGTGAATATATCAGGATACTTGGTGTATGCGATACACGATTCAGGACCTTCTGGATTGGTAATGGTTTCCCTGTAAATAAAGATACCAAGCCCAAGAGGAGTTATCTCCCTTTAGTGCCCAAATTCGGTAGCAGACCACCTTATTTATTTTCCTCAATTCCCTGCAGAATTTCCACTTGAAAACTTTCTGCTAATAACAATCGCAATGACTTATTTATCATTGATAATCAGGTTTATATCTGGTGCACCGGATTAGGTTCAAAACACCAGATCCGGTTCCATGCACCCAGCTCACACAGGCAAGCACCAGATTCGGTTCAAAACACCAGATCAGGTTTTGTAGCACCAATGACTGGTTGAAATAACACTTACGGTTCTACAGGCAGATCAGATATAATCAATTATATTTCAATGTTTTATATGTTGATATGGCATTACACCGTGGCTAAAAAGAGCAACACAGGTGTATAAATAAAAGGAGTTAAAGGCAAACGTTAACTCACAGTTAGACTGGGAGGTCGAAGGACAAACAAAGTCAATGCACGGTAATATCGGTAAACACCGAAATTATTATAAAGAAGCTTAATTAGGCTCCCCAACAGGCACAGGTTAAACAACCTACTATAATATAATTACTCCCTTACCAGAGAAGGTGTGTTGCAGATCACCTGCGCCATGATCAATATCTAGGCCTATATAGGCTAACAATTAAAAAACACGTCTAAACACAATGAGTTGCGAAGGCCAACTAACTGAAACGCTTCGTACAGCGCGCCATATTACGTCACTAAATTTTGACGTCATATTACCCCCAACGTTGTATCACGTGACCAACAGTCTTCGATAGTCAATTTGACAGACTTGCTCGTTGGTGTTCTGATCGACAATGCGGTGGGACTGAAAGGATAAATATATTTATTTATGCGCAGATATTAATACTCGGGTTTGCTACCATATCCAGTCGGCTCCTTGGTTCACGGCACTCAATTTATACGGAGCTATGGGTGATTTTCGGCTACATGCAGCCGGTGAAGAAAACGGCGTGGAACAAAATGGTGCAGTCCATTTGTGACGCGGGGAGAACAGGTTCGTAAAGGTAAACAAACAAGTGATCCCATTAACAAAGAAAAGTCATGTTGATACGAATACTTTATAACAGAATAACATGGGTATGTTCCCAGCAAAACAATAAATAATCTATTAGTATAGCGAATCAATATACATATAATTTAGGTGTGTTCCCGGACCGTAACACAGCCCCCCTCCCAATCCGGGTTTGGTCCCCAAACAGGTAGGCAGTTTGGTCAATGTTACTCATCCTTAAGTATGGCTAATCTGTCACTGGCTATTTGAACTAGTGTTGGCAGAATATAAAATTCACTTTCGATGATGATCGAGCTCCTCCAAGAACCGAGGTTCCTTGGGGAGGGTTTGAGGCTTCGAAACACCCCCACGGCGCAAATGGTTTAGTACATGTCGGAAGTGCGCTGGGTCCCTATCAATAAAATATGTGCTGGGATTGGAGGCAATTGGTTCAACCCTGAAAAGGAAGGTGAAAAAACTGTCAGGGACATTTAGCAGCGTCTCCTGTGTGGTGTCATACTTGGTGCCCCCAATGTTTAATACAATCCGGTTCAATTGCATAAGCGTGGCTTTCGTTACGACTGGACAAGGGTGTGGCATCGGTTCCTCCTCAGATGGCAGGTTTGGTACTGTTTGTAGAAAGAATTCCACGAACCCCACGTCTTCATCAACAGTCGAAACGCCTTCCGCATACAGAGACAATGTGTCACTGTTGTCTTGTAACTTCCTGGGGGAGGACTGAAAAAGATGTACCGGGACTGATGGTGTTCGGGAGTACGTTTGTGGTAATGTTCGGCTCTTCTTTTCTGTATTAGTTGACATTGGAGGAGGGCTGTCACGCTTCCTCTTTTCTGTAGAAGGGGTGAGTTGCCTCTCCTGCATTGGTAAGATTTTCTCATCAATGGTCAACATAAAACGAGACAAGGCGTCCTCAACCACCTGGCCGAACTCTCCAGTTATACGATTAAAGGGCTCGTACGGTGCCGAGCCATCTCCCCCGGTGCAATCTCTATGCTTCTGGTGTCGGCGCATAAATACCTTCTTGCAGAGTAAGCACCGAAAGCCAATGCCACTGTGTTGCTCGACCAGATGTCGCCTCCCAGCCGATTTTTTGTCAAAAGTGTAGTCCCCGCATACACGGCAAGTGTAAGTAGTAACCTTAAATGAAGAATAAAGTCTCATACAAAATCTGAGTATATGCAGGTGAGTATAAACATACAGGTAAGTAGAAATTTATCTATTAATAATCATTAATACATCGGCTTTATATACAAACAATAAATAAATTACAGATATTATACTCTGTGCCATGTTGGGGGGCAGTTCCCTTCATATCGTTTTAGTTTGTCATGATGAACTATTTTTGGTTTAGCTCGAGGGGATTCCTGTATCCGGTAAATCACACTATTAATTATCTGCGTGACAATATATGGCCCCTGCCAATCTCTTTGCAGTTTTCTACTCAAGCCCTTTCTTGGCTTGGGGTTATGAACCCATACTGGAGTCCCAACTTCATAACTATTATGAGCTAACTTTTTGTCATAATTTCTTTTCATATTGGCACCAGCCATATTAAGTTGACCACGAGCAAAATTATGTATTCTATTAATTTTTTGTTCTAATTCATACGCGTAGTTAAAATCTAATGAATAATTATCTGTATTCATCATTTCAGGTGTGCCAAAGACTAAATCAACAGGAAGAGTTATCTCTCTTCCGTACATCATTTTGTTTGGGGTTACTCCAGTTGATTCATGAATGGATGAACGATAAGCCATCATTATCATAGGAAGGTATTTATCCCAATCATTTTGGTTTTCATTTACAAAGGCACTAAGCATATTCTTTATTGTTTGGTTTGCCCTCTCAATCATTCCATCAGATTGTGGGCGAAAAGGGGTAGTTCGAGTCTTGTGAATGGCCAAGGTTTGACACATAGAGGCAAATACCTTGGAGCCAAAGTTCGATCCTTGATCTGTATGCAGTGAAAGAGGCACACCGAAATGAGTTACGAATCTTTCTATCAGAGTATCAGCCACTGTGAGAGCAGTTGTATCTTTGATAGGATACGCATCTGTGTACTTAGTAAAATAATCGCCCACAACTAGGACATATTTATTCCCATTGAGGGTCAGTGGCAAAGGCCCCATGATATCCATGGCAATTCTTTCCATGGGAGCTCCTACACAATATAATTTCAGAGGGGCCTTAGGTTTATGCGCCGGTCTTTTCCTTGACGAACAAATGTCACAGCAGTTTACCCAATATCTTACATCCGATCTCATGCCATACCACGAAAAGCGAGATCTCAATTTGTACAAGGTTTTCTTGACCCCCAAATGCCCACCAGTCGGTGAGTTATGTAGATGTTCAAAGGCTAATTTCTTTAAGCAAGAGGGTAAAACAAGGAGATATGTCAAATCTCCGACTTCTTTTTCCCAAGATCGATATAACACCCCTCCCCGTAAAACAAAAGACTCAAAACGATGCCAATAGTATTTAATAGATACATCTTTATTAGCAATTTCCTCCCATTGAGGTTTCTTATTAGTTTGTTTCCAGTCAATAATCTGGGCTAAAATTTTATCTTCTCCTTGTTTTGCAGGAATATCAACATCATTTAGGATATACTCAGAGCCATTCGATTGGTCCGGTGGAAAAGAGGTAGAAGGCATGTTAATGCTATCAGTAGTTCCAATGCCAACCATTCTGACTGATGCAGATGGAATCGGATCTCCTTCTTTGTCAGTGGTAAGGTTAGCATTTTCATCATTGGTTTGCCCTATCTTTGGCACAACATCTTCCATTGGGTTTAGGTCATTTCCAACATGACTAAATTCCTCATATCTCTCCTCGGCAGAAGAGCATTTCGAACAGTTACGTTCGAAGCATGGTCGCCTTGACAGTGCATCAGCATTAGAGTGAATTCGGCCAGGGCGGTGCTCAATTTCAAAATCATAGGCAGCTAAGGTTTCGAACCACCTAGCGATTTGCCCTTCGGGATTTTTGAAATTAAACAACCACCTCAACGCTCCATGGTCTGTTCGCACCAGAAACTTCCTACCATACAGATAATGGTGAAAGTTTTTAATGGATGTTATCATAGCTAGAAGTTCCCTTCTAGTTACACAATACTTTCTCTCGGCTGAAGAGAAAGCTTTACTGTAAAAACAAATAACTCTTTCGGTACCATCCTGCACCTGGGAGAGTACAGCTCCCAATCCTTCATTGCTAGCATCACAATCTATTATGTACTTGTCATTGTCATTCGGATAAGCGAAAACTGGTGACGCCGTAAGCGCTGTCCGCAGTCTTTGAAAGGCTTTATGACACTCCTCGGTCCACTGAAATGGCCTTGCTTTCTCTGTAAGCTTGTGTAATGGCCTTGCTATATCAGCGAACCCCTTAACAAATCTCCTGTAATAGGAGCAAAGTCCCAGAAAGCTCCTAATTTGTTTTACATTTACAGGCACCGGCCAGTTTTTGACAGCCTCGATTTTGGCAGGATCAGTAGCAATTCCCTGGGCACTAACAATGTGCCCTAGATAGGTAACTTCTTCTTTCATTAGATGACATTTTTTGGGATTTAACTTAAGGTTAGCCTGCTTCAGGCACTCAAAAACCTTCGTTAAATTTTCAAGGTGTTGTTCGAATGACTTCGAATACACTATTATGTCATCAAGGTAGACCAAACAGATTTGCCAGGATAAGCCTTTTAGCACCCTCTCCATCAGTCTTTCAAAACTGCCAGGTGCGTTGCAAAGCCCAAAACTCATTACATTGAACTCCCACAAGCCACTGCCATATACTGAGAAAGCTGACTTCTCTTTGTCACTCTCAGCTAATTTTACTTGGTGGTATCCACTTTTAAGATCAAGTGTGGAAAAGAGTTTTGCTCCAGATAGTGCATCCAGGGTGTCGTCTATCCTGGGAAGGGGATGGGAGTCTTTAATAGTCACATCATTAAGCTTGCGGTAATCTACACAAAATCTAGTACTGTTATCCTTCTTTTTTACTAAAACCACTGGGGATGACCAGGGACTGATTGAGGGAGAGATAATCCCCTGTTTTGCCATTTTCTCTATTTCTTCCCTGGCTTCCTGAAGTTTAGCCAATGGTATACGTCTGGGTGGCTGCTTTATAGGCATGGCATTACCTGTGTTTATTCTGTGTTCCACTAGATTTGTCCCTCCTATATCTAAGGAATCTTTAGAGAATAAATCACTATGTTTAATTAATAAATTCCTTAATTTTTCTTTTTCAGAATCATTCAGATTTGGTGTACTTCTATCAAGGACTTCCGTGACATGATCAGGTAATATGTGAGTTTTAGTCACATTGTATACTTGTTGAACAGAATTATCCTGTTCAACTTTAACAATTTCCTCAGCAACTTCACATTGAGCCGCTACTGTGTTCTTATAAATCTTACAAGGTTGGTTCGTTACATTTATAATACGTAGAGGAATATTCCCACCTCTGGTATTCACAAAGCATTTAGCTAATAAGAGTCCTGTCTTTTTAGTAAACCCTGGTAAAGGTTCTATAATTCCTTTTTGCATATTGATCACAGGATCAATGAATTTTCCTGAAACAATAATCTCAGTTTCAGGGGGAACAACTGTGTCTTCAGCTAAAGCAAGCCTGCACACTTTTGGCTCTGCCTCAGTTGAGAAGAAGTAACAAGGAATTTCCTCTCCTTTAACATTTAAACAATTCTTACTAAGAATTACATCTCCTCCTATATTTGTCAAGAAATCTAGACCTAAAATGCCATCATTTTGAATGTCAGTAATGTAAACTTCTTGGGAAACAATTCTTTTCCCTAACTTTATTTTAAGGTGCGTTTTCCCATGGAAGGGAGATAACTCTCCAGTCGCTGTCACCATGCTTAGGTTAACTGGCAAAAGTTTAATGGATGAGGACTTCTTAGTTAACTTGTCCAACACTTCTCTATTTAATAATGTAATATTGGCCCCAGTGTCCACTAGCATTGTGACAGGAAGACCCTCAATTAGTGTTGGCACAAACAGTCCCTCATCTCCATATTTTGAGGCCCTTATTGAGACCTGATTGGTCTCTGTTCTCGTCGAGGTCTGGCCTCTGAACTCGACGTCTGCCCGTTTCCCTGCTTTATATCTATATCATGGCGTCTATCTTGAGACTGAATTGGTCTCTGATTTCCTCTCCCAGGCCATTCTCTCCTACTGTAAAAATCTCCTCTTTGATAAATATTGTTTTGGTAATCAGGTATTCTGTCTCTTTCAGATTGTACATTAGAAGTGGACAATCGCTGCAGATGTCTTGTTAAGAGCTGCATATCTTGTCGCAGACCTTGCACAGCATCATTTAATTTGGTTTGTTCATGACCTTGACCAGACAGATTTTGATCCTTCGGTTGCCCAACTGCATGGACCCGATGTGTCCTCTGTCGGTCTGCCATTCTAAAAGCCTCCAATTGTACAGCTAACAGCTCAGCTTCGCCTATATCCTTGACTCGGGCTTCACGAAGTCGGAGCCTCATATCGGTATCTGGCAAAGCGTCTATGAAATAATCTCTAGCAAGGGTTGACACCACGCTGCTGGGTGCTTCCGGGTAGGCTTGTCTTGAAAGCTTCTTGATTGACTGAGCAAGATCAGATATACTTTCATTTCTTTGCTTAGTTCTAGTCTGAAGGGTGGCCTTAAATATTTCAGACCTATTGGTTGAGCCAAATCTAAGGTTTAATATCTGAACCAGACTATCATAGTCCCTCCTTTTCTCATGGGATAATTCATTTAGCAGGGACCTCGCACTTCCGTCAAGGCTACTGTCTAGATAAAGGGACTTAGTCTTATAATCCCAGCGATTTAATTCGGATAAAACTTCAAACTGAGCAAGATAATCTTCCAGCTCCTCAGTGCCATTGTAACTTGGTGGTCTCATTTTGGTGGAGGCTGATGTATGATTATTTGGAGTACTCTCCCTTGAATAGCTAAATCCCTCTGTGGGTACATCTGGACATGTCGAATAACTACTGCCAGGTTGTGTGCATAACCTTGTTGTAGGGGTTCTACCATAACTATTATTTATATCATTACATTGTTTTTTTAGGGCAGGTATTGGAGCATCACAGGTTTGGCGCAAGGTTTCCAAATCATTCACCTTGGAACTAACCGTTTCAATAGCTAAAGTCATATGTGATAGAGAGTTTTCAGTTACTCTATTATAATTTGTCAAGATATTTTCAGTCATTTTTATTATTCTCTTTTCTAGGTTCCCCTGACTTCTAAAAATTGAAGCTTCTATTCGTTTCTCCATAGATTGGAGGGCATCAGCTTCAGACAAAGTGTCATCAACAGTCTCATTCACAACAGTGAAGTCAGGGTCCTCCATACTAGAACCACTTGAGGCAATACTATCATTTAAATTCTGAGGACAAGGCACAGATTGCTCTTTAAACGTAATCTCGGAATCGCTCATGTCTGATATAGGGTTCACCAACTACAGAACTTCAATGGATCCCACTTCTGACACCAATTGTTACGCTACCAACCCTCCGGCTGGCAACCAATGAATTCGCGGGCGTTCTGTAGCTGTATGTGAAGACCCCCTGCAACACCCCAGACACGAACAGATAACAGAGTACTTTAATTAAGAACAACACAAACTTTATTACCTAAATATATAAAATAATTAATACAATATTTAATAATTAATATTTAATAATTGAAATGTACATCGAAGTTGAAAAGTTATACTTGTTTCACGTCGTAAATTGTTAATTGTACCGGTACTTAGTTTTTGAAGTGGTGAATATATCAGGATACTTGGTGTATGCGATACACGATTCAGGACCTTCTGGATTGGTAATGGTTTCCCTGTAAATAAAGATACCAAGCCCAAGAGGAGTTATCTCCCTTTAGTGCCCAAATTCGGTAGCAGACCACCTTATTTATTTTCCTCAATTCCCTGCAGAATTTCCACTTGAAAACTTTCTGCTAATAACAATCGCAATGACTTATTTATCATTGATAATCAGGTTTATATCTGGTGCACCGGATTAGGTTCAAAACACCAGATCCGGTTCCATGCACCCAGCTCACACAGGCAAGCACCAGATTCGGTTCAAAACACCAGATCAGGTTTTGTAGCACCAATGACTGGTTGAAATACCACTTACGGTTCTACAGGCAGATCAGATATAATCAATTATATTTCAATGTTTTATATGTTGATATGGCATTACACCGTGGCTAAAAAGAGCAACACAGGTGTATAAATAAAAGGAGTTAAAGGCAAACGTTAACTCACAGTTAGACTGGGAGGTCGAAGGACAAACAAAGTCAATGCACGGTAATATCGGTAAACACCGAAATTATTATAAAGAAGCTTAATTAGGCTCCCCAACAGGCACAGGTTAAACAACCTACTATAATATAATTACTCCCTTACCAGAGAAGGTGTGTTGCAGATCACCTGCGCCATGATCAATATCTAGGCCTATATAGGCTAACAATTAAAAAACACGTCTAAACACAATGAGTTGCGAAGGCCAACTAACTGAAACGCTTCGTACAGCGCGCCATATTACGTCACTAAATTTTGACGTCATATTACCCCCAACGTTGTATCACGTGACCAACAGTCTTCGATAGTCAATTTGACAGACTTGCTCGTTGGTGTTCTGATCGACAATGCGGTGGGACTGAAAGGATAAATATATTTATTTATGCGCAGATATTAATACTCGGGTTTGCTACCATATCCAGTCGGCTCCTTGGTTCACGGCACTCAATTTATACGGAGCTATGGGGGATTTTCGGCTACATGCAGCCGGTGAAGAAAACGGCGTGGAACAAAATGGTGCAGTCCATTTGTGACGCGGGGAGAACAGGTTCGTAAAGGTAAACAAACAAGTGATCCCATTAACAAAGAAAAGTCATGTTGATACGAATACTTTATAACAGAATAACATGGGTATGTTCCCAGCAAAACAATAAATAATCTAATAGTATAGCGAATCAATATACATATAATTTAGGTGTGTTCCCGGACCGTAACAATACGTTAAACTCTATCTACATGGACATCACCCATGCGTTTGTGCAGATATCCTCGCATCCAGGAAGTTTTGTAGGAGGGGGGGTTTGCCAGGTTCCTGTTAAGGAAATTGGACAGTTGACAATGCATGATGCCATCATCGTATCCAAATTACGTATGCATACATACACACTGAGCGCTTTAAAGACAAAAGTCCGACACCCCGTTTGACGTCAATTTTTATTATGAAATTGGAGGACCCGGAGGAAACCCACGAGGTCGGACAGGCGATCCTACTCCTTGTCAGGTACATGTGGGAATCGAAACCACGTCACTTGATTCAATGACGGGCATTCTGACCCAACGAGCACGCCTTAAACATTCGGATTGGTACGTAAACATTAGCGTGCACGTAAAAGATCTTTTGGCAGTTGGAATTCGATATAAGAGTAGGCCGTAGCGCCGCTATCCGAGCAACATTTCCCTGTATGGCGTATACCCATCTTCCGTAGCCAAGTCGGAGCAGAACAGTACTACGTTAAACACCATTTCAGTTAACCATGCCGCCACCCAACACCACAAGTACGGGTGCAATGATTTGTGTAATCACAGTAAAACTCCGATGTAGATACATAAGTATTGAGACTGTTACTCCGAAACATTAAAATTTGAGAAAGTTGTTCTCGGGTATATGTTTTGTTGCCTGGTACGCCTACATTCCAAGTCACGATTCTCAGTTAAATGACAATTTATTGACTATGTCAGTCCCATGTTTACAACGCGGGTTTCTATTTTCAGGCAGGTTTGGAAGTACGGAAATTCCCCACACACCGAGTTAAATACTACAAGGGATAGGGTTATATATTTAGCGTTAGGGGTAAGTGTAGTACCATGTGTCTTTTGTAAGACGTGGAGGGCGGAGGACGCCGAACCGGTCGCCACCTCCGGCGTATGACCCATGCATCTTTTCTTATTACATGCACATATCTTAGTAACCATGTGATCATCTTTGCTTCCCCTTCACGTTGTGTATTTACTTCTTCTTGTCTATCTCAGTTAAAACGTGTGTCTTTCCAGGAATTACAATGCAACAGTTCGTTTTTACATTTTATATATCATAGCCGGATACATAGATACAAGCATATTATAGATTACAATACTAAAGTCATTCTCATTTTCATATTCTGAATCAGAGTAACAATCATTTAAGAAGAGTTAGTAGATCACACACACAGTTAATTTATTGAATGAGACAGGTTATACTGCAAACTAATTTAATAAATACTGAAATATTTTATAACCAGACTTTGTTTTCATTTAAGCTATAAAAATTAGATAAAGGGGGTGTGAATCTGGCTTTACCCTCAAGTTAGAACCGGAGAGGGGGTTTGCAATATGTTTCATGAAAATATATTTTAGTGTGTAATAAGACAGCTCTAGATAAGCTAGTTGTAACAATGGATATCGATTGATATCGTTGCCTTTCCTTCAACAACGCAGTTTGAGAATCATATCAGTATAAGTAAATAATAAGTAAATAATTTAACAGGGTAAAAATACACCGAATGCTTAAAGCCATGAGCCGTCTTCATTAGCCCAGGTTAGGAGCAGAACAGTAGGACGTTAAACCCCATTTCATTTCATTAAAGCCATGAGAACGTTTATTGATGTCGTCACTGTGAACACAATCCTTTATAATCAGTAAAAGTAAAACTAGAACTAATTTATATTTAAACATGCTGATAAACTGATGACAAACTTAAAATAACAGATCGACAAATCCTTAAAAAAGGCTGGAGTCTCAATAACTTCAGATGTCAAACCCAGGGCTTCTTATATCTTTCTTAGAAGTTAATGATGCATAACCTTAGAAGAAATAAAACACCTCAAGAAACCCTGAAATCTATATATATATATATATATATAAGTTAAAGTCCAATATATCTGTGCAATAATATAAACAATTATTGAATAAAAATTGTGATCTCTAGATTGACCACAAGCCAATAACTTGATTTTGCGTACAATCAGGAGCCATAATCCATGAAGTTACGGTACTATACACATAAGTACCGAAAGGAACCCAGATCTTTGGAATATAAACCTACATGTTAAGTTTCGTCAAAATCGGAAAAATTTGTGACCTGTAGAGTGTCCATAAACAAAATGTGAACTAGCGGGCGGACATGGGCGACGATAATAAACTTCCACATGAAAATGTGGGCGTATAAACAAGATTGTTCGTACAATCAGGGGTCATAATCCAGGAGGTTATGCGCCAATATTGAAGGAACTAAGATCTTTGTGATATAAACATATTTTTAATTTTTTCCTCAAAATCGGATAAAAATTGTGACCTCACGAGGGACGACAACCTTGGTATTACATGCTTTTACACTATTTGACTGATGGGGAGCGGCCATTTTGACGGGAAATTTCAGTCAGACTTTCACGAAATTCGAACTCAACCATAAATATGAACAGATCTTAAAATCAAATAAAAATTATGACCTCTAGAGGTTCCACAAGCTAAAAATACGAGGGACCAAAAATCCAGGAAATTGCGGTCCGACATGTGCCAATATTGAAAGAAACCGGGATTTTTGCGATTTAAAGATAGACTTTGAGTTTCATCAAAATCGGATAAAATTGTGACCTCTAGAGGATCCACAACCATAGTATTACATACTTTTACACTATTTGGTATAACAGTGATATATTTGAACTCTTAGAGGGTGGACAAGCTAAAAACGTGATTTGTCGTGCAAGTCAGGGGCCATAATCCAGGACGTTTCGGTCTGATCCAATATCGAAAAGAGCATATTTATAGACGACAGAGAACATCCACATAAAAATGAGGACATATACAAGAATTTTTGTTACCAACTAATCCTTCCCCAAATACCCCTAAAATATGACTATATAAAATCTCAGATTTTGAAAGGGGGAGGGGGGAAACCTCGCTCTAACAGATAATTATAATGAATTAAATTATATAAGAGTATTGTGCGTTTCAAATTATCTAAAGTTTTCGGGAATAAAAGTTATGCTTCAAATTATCTATTTTCTGTACAGATCAAATAAATTTTGTTTCCAACTGTCAGCGTTGCCGTCTGAAAACTGTAATTTGTAAATCTTTTTCTTTGTTTCTAGTTTAAGTATTTGGACACCACTCTCTGAAACGATAACATTATATTCTCAACTTGGTGTAAATAGTGGGAAAAAAATGTAAAAAAAAAACAAACAAAAAACAAAAAAAACCCAAAAAAACCCCACAAAAAACAACAACACAAAACAAACAAGTATTGAAGAGAGAGAGAGAGAGAGAGAGAGAGAGAGATATATGGGGTTTAGCGTCCTCTCGACACAAACTAGGTCATTTCGGGACTAACGTATGGTTTAATTTTATTTGAATAATTCGCTTGCGCGTAGGGGTCTTAAGCAGTGGGAGGAAACCGGAGGACCCGGAGAAACCGTGCAATCGAAACCACGCCAGTTGACTCAATGGCATACTTTATAATACAGCGCGCACACGCTAACCATTCAGTCATCCAACTCCCCAAGTATTGAAGACCAAACAGCTCTTTTTTCAGTGTTCTCAATTGTTAGTTCTTAATTCATAGTCTTAAAGGGACAATAACACTCTTGCTGGCTTGACAGCTCCAGAAAAAAAAATAGCCTTATTCTAAGTATTAGATGTGTAAGTGTCCTACCTGTTGTGTAAATTATCCATTAAATCCTATTTTACTTGTCCAGAGGGTTCAAAAAGATTTTTAAATCCAAGTCACATTTGAAAAGCTTTACGTCAGGCTTTTCAATTCATTTAGTTGAATTATTCCAATTTTTTAAATTAGGTGTGTTAAGATGAAGTTTGTATCATCAATTAATTGGAATATTGTAAAATAGTACAATTTGTTGACCAGAATAAAGATTGGGGCATATTATTCAGTTACAACAAGAGTGGTATTGAGCCTTTAAATTCTTCATTTGTTGTCGAATTTTGAAATTTGTATACTAAATTATTAACATTTGCATCTTAAAATCAATATCTATTTTGTTTTAACAAATCAAACATTTTGTCATATCAGATTTGTAAATTGTATCTTTGTTTAATTTAATTGTATTTAAATATAAAGAAATAAATTCTTTTAGAATTTCAAAACATTTCATTTTATTTCATCATAAACATACAAGGAAAAACAAATCTCGAACAACAATCGAAATACAAATCTCCAAACACCAATCTTGCAAATCATTGACAAAAGACAAGAAAGCGAATGTTTTACTTTTTTTGTTGCTTATGATCTATAAATAGATTGATTTAGTCAAGGTCACGTGTCTATAGTATATTTTAGATTTGACAAGCGCCACCTGTTGGATGGATGGATTTGGAGAAATGTTGTTAGACAATGGTATTGCAAGATTGGTATTTGGAGATGTGTTGTTCGAGATTTGTTTTTCGTTGTATGTTTCTGATGAAATGTAAATGTTATTTTCTAATTTTATAAAAGAAATTTTATCTTAATATAAAAAATATAATTAAATTAAACAAAGATACAATTAACAAAACTGATATGACAAATGGCTGATGTGTAAAACAAACATTGATTTTAAGATACAAATTTGAATTTTAGCACACAATTGTCGGAATACGACAACAAATAAAGAAATATGAATTAAGGACTATAAATTAAGAACCAAGTATAAAGAGCGGTTTGATCGTCCATAAAAAAGAGACCCTAATATAGAACATGTTGTACAAACTGGATAGATGCCTCTTTGTCGCAGTAAATCTCACCGGAGTATCAAGCCAGAAAAGAAAGGTTGCCAGGCAACGAAAGTACGCCCATAGCAGCTAAATCGTCCCGGCGGTCGACCCAGGTTGTAGCATATTAATATTCTTTTGTAGGTAATTGGGGGGATTTACAAGACAATTTCATACAGATCAGATTGCAATTTTCGTCAAGGTACAATTTTATGCCTATCAAAGAAATAATTTTCGCTCTTTCAGGGTTCACATGGTTTTACCAACTGAAATAAGGGGCTTAACTCTGGAAGTAATTTACAGAAACTGTTGAAATTTGACTTCTTTTTCGTTTTATTAATTTAAATAATGCATATAAATGTCACACAGATCGGAAGGTAACTTTTGTTGTTTGAACATTCACTGGTCCAAAAATTGAAATAAGGGCCATAACTCCAGAAATTGTTGAAATTAAATGGGATTCTTCGTCTCCGTAATGTTAACAACATATAGTAATTTCAAAACAATCAGATGATAAATGTAGTCTATAGAGAGTTCATAAGACATTATTGGTGACGGACGGACGTACAGACGCATGTACGTGCGGACGGAGGCGACAGCAATATACGACAACATTTCCATGTCGGCGTATGAAAAAGGAAACTGTCCCCGCTAGAATGTAACTTACTATTCCTTTCTTCAAAATTAAATTGAATGACGTCATTTCTCATTATTTTCTTTTTGTCCAGTATTAACATTACACCATTATTGTCGGGTTTAAGAAACTTTACATGCAGGTCTTTTAAGCCTCCGGTAGATGTTTCTCTTCTAAATTTCCCTGCAATTATGGACAGAAAATATTGTTGAATCCAACATAGTGTATTCATTTTCCATAATTAACTATAATTCTTAACATTATCGGTATAATAAAATTCAGCAACGTATATCGGAATCACAGAGAACATAATTAAAACTTTTTAAAATATTTTATTACACTGCTACATGTTGCAGTGGCCTTTCACAAAGAACTCTAAAAATGAATATCAACATACCCTCTAATGTTTTTTTCGGTGCTACCATTTTTAGCTGTCCGATTTTAACTTCGGGTTGAAGAAGCGTTTCTTGTAAAAGTTCAATAATTTGGTCAATATAAACTTCAACATCAGACTGACTGTACATCTCTGCACACAACTGCAGCTTTAGTGACGTTGTTTGGGCATTATGATCAGTGACAACGAATAAAAAGGATTCGCCCAAAATATGTTTATTATCGGTTTCATTTAGTTGCAATGCAGCACCCTCTTTCATTGCTGTAAGTTGGTCAACAAATGTGTAATCGTTAAAAATCAAAATATGGCGGTACAAGTCTTTGTTAGCATCCTCGGGTATAAGTTTTTCTATTTCATCATAGGGAAACAGGCTGTTGTCAAGAATGTCATTGATGTGTTTGGAGTTAGTAACAAGAAAATCTTTAATAGACATAGAGTGTTCTATATCTGCAAAAACTGGAATGTGGTTTATTAAGCATTCCATAACATTTTTAGTTTCTGGCAATGACGACCGAAGGTCTTTAGGTAGAGTAATAAAAACTCTACGATTTCCAGATCGAAGACTCAAAAACAGCTGATACGTAGACATCATTATCTTAGATGTTGTTGTTCGCAGTGTCTTGCTTAGTTTACTGAGTTCATTGTGTAGCTCTGTAGACATTTGTCTATGGGCTGTAACGCAAAGGCCGTGTAATTGACATGGTTTGGTAGAATCGATACCAATCAACGGGACGCCCTTGGATAACTCTCTTTTCCAAAAACTCTTCATCGCACTAAGTGAAGATTTTAATCTCCTATCCATTATATTCGCTGCCGATATATGATTTAGAGGTGCTGGTATTGTAACCTGTCCAAGGCCTTGGTACTTGTAGAAACTTTTCAAGCAGGTTATGAATTCCTCCAATAACATGCTCAGCGCTAGTATGTCAAATGCTATGTGATTGCATATAATGCCGATTCGCATAGATGAACCATTTGTGTGGTATATGAAACGAACAGGTCCTCTGGATTTCAAATCAAAGGGTTCCATACTTTTCTTTTCAAAAGTTTCATCGATGTTTCGATTGTCTTCGTCGATTATAATCAGATCAAGTGCTTGGTTTGCATCAATCAGAATTCGTTTAATATCCTCTTTTGAACCTCCTGGACGTAATACTCCTGAGTAAGAATAGGATTTCTGGATGTTATTAACAACAGCAAATTTGTTATAGTCTCCTTATTTAGGCTTAAATCCGAAAAATACATATCAAATAATAGATGGAATGCTTTGTAAGCTAGTGGGTTTTGGTTTAATTTGTAATATCTGTATTCAATGTAGGATATGGTTTCTTGATTGTCAACGTTGTCGTCTTGATTGTCGTCGTCGTCAACCCCATCACTACGCTTGATATTTTTATTTATAAAACTTGCTAAACTAGCTATAGTTGTATTTGGTGAAAATAATAAATTAACAGGTATTTTGTAACTAATATCCTTATTTACTTCGTTCACAATTGTCATAGCCAACATTGAATCCATTCCTTCATCCACTAGACATGTGTTTGGTGATAAACTGTTTTCATCTAAAATAAGTACTTTACATACTAATTGAGAAATGTAAGATCTGATCATTGATAATCTTTCTTGGGTAGTTGCAGATTGTAAAAGATGGATACTTAATTGTACTTTTTTAGAATTTGTTTCAGGGGTTGTTCCAATGTCATCCACAGATTTTGGCAATAGGCCACGAAGCTTTTCTATGCCAAACATGTCTTTATACCTGAAGAGATTAGTTTTAAGTACCTGTGAATTTAAATCAGTTACAATAATCTGTGGAAGACCTGATAAAATGGCAGATTCTAGACAATGGCCAATATCATCTTTGCAGATTAGACGGTAACCTTGACTTTCGAGTCTTTGTCTATTACGCAAATTATCTTTGGCATTTTCCAACATTCCCATATCCAAAGGTCCCCAATTTATGCTTTGTGCAGGTAATCCCTTTGATCTGCGATAAAACGCTAAACTGTCCTGGAAAGCGTTTCCTGCTCCATAATTACTTTGTCCTGGTGCTCCGAATACTGATGTTATTGAAGAATGGAGAATAAAGAAATCCAATTCAGTAGTTTCCATTGCTAAATGCATGTTCCATGCACCAGTAATTTTAGCATCTAAGACTTCTGTTATTTGTTTCTTTGTCATATTAACCAATGTTGAATCTCTCAATAAACCAGCTCCGAAAATCACACCTTTAAGAGGGCTCACGGGAAATTGTTGCATGAGCTTTTTAAGCGACCCTTTCAAGGAACTAAAATCGGTTACGTCTGTTGGTAAAGCAATTATCTTACAACAACATTTATCGGATAATTCTTCCATTTTGATCTTGTCGTCCTTAGTGGGATTTCTGCGGTTGAAACAAGCAATAAACCCAGCTTTATTTTCTGCCAGCCATTTAACACACTGCCACCCAAGTCCAGTTAAACCACCAACAACTATATAAGCAGCCGATTTACTAAGTATCCGATCTGGTGGTTTTAGGCGTAATGGTGGAACAACTACATCTGATTGGTCGAGATTGATTTCCGTTGGAGAAAACAACTTGGTCAGATAATCTGCAGCTTCAGTGTATGCTCCATATTTAGTTATAATCATGTTTACATCTTTAGTTGATTTCTTCAGCCATACTGACATCCTCGGCATGGCAGAGATGAGCTTTATGGGTGAAAATATGTCCCATTCCTTTAAAACTTTGATTTCCGAATCTTGCATGTGGTGATATAACAGATGGACGCAGTCTTGTGTCACAAGAGCAGATAGGCTGATAAATCTTGTCACTTTAGAGAAATTTAGAATATGACTAGAAATTATGCTTTTGTCTAATCGTGTTAGATTTATTAACTCGCATCCATTTGTTAGATTGTTGGTCTTTCCAGTAAATCGAGTTACAGTTTTAACTTTTCTATATCTTAGCATTAAGCATATCATTTCTTCATATAATGAAGTGGTATCTTCGCAAAACAAGACAACTGACTTGGATGTTATATGCTCACATATATTCCACAAAGTGACGAAGATTGTTATTAGTCCACGCTGGTACCTGGGTAATTGTGAAATGGGTACACAACAGGAGATTGGTACCTCTACCCTATTTGACGCATGCACGGGGTAGCATGATATGAAAATATCTCTTCGGTTATTGTTAGTTTTATCCTTCCTCACATAACCAACCGTTTCGAGGCAGTAGATGGGGAATTCGTTTGCTTCTTCCTCTAGCGAATCAAAACAAGATGAGCAGAGATCTGGATTTTGGACAACTAAAGATATCACTTGCATTACAACTGTATTTGGGTTAGAGTTTCCTCCTTTCTGACAAGGATACATTTGAAAAACATTTTGTATTCTATCTTTCTGTGAAGAAAACATTTCAAAATCGCCTAATGAAGACTGGTTGTGTTCAATGTAATCTTTCACTTCATAAAAGCCTGTGCATTCGAAAGAATACACTGCATCACCAGTGACCAAAATCTCTCCCTGGTTTTTAAGATTGCTAGAAAATTCACCCATTAAAAATTCCAGGATTCCGGTCTTGGATAGCTGGTCACTATAATTTTTTAAGTCAACAATGTGGAGTTGAAATGACATGGTTTCTCTTTGAACTGATCTCAGAAATCCCCATATTGAAACTTGAATTGGGTTACAGTTTGATGTTTCAACACAGTTGCTTTTATTGGTAGTAACCGTCCAGGTGTTCCTGGTAATTACTAAAACTCTGCAGTTTTCCGTATTTTCGTGAACATGTATTAAAATATCTTTGAGCCAGAGTATTTTTCTTTCCACAACAGACTGCATGTCACGACCATCAAATGTTTCATCTCTGAATTCGTCTATCATGATTGCTATGTTTTTATGTTTTTTAATTTGGGTACTGAAATTCGCCAATAATGTATTTCTTTGTTCATTGTTCTCTGGAATAATAAAGCTAGGGTACTCGCCTAAATGACATTGAGCTCCAAATGAAATAATATCTGTGTTATTCTCTGGGGTGGGCTGGTCAACCAGACTAACCTTTTTCCATTGCTGTTTGTAAAAGTATTTGTTGGCTTTCTCACGATTGGTACCGATGGCTTTAACTGTGCTTTTCAAAATACTAGCGATGATTTCACCATTTTCAGCACATAGATGGGTTAAGAAAGTACACTTTGACTGTGTTATTGTTAGAAACTTTACATAACAAAACATATGATCTTGTACTTCTCGCAAAACCCGAATTTGGTTCAAATGAGAAGGAATTAGTTCCACGCTGTCATTGTTAGATCCGAAAGCGACAGGTGTTTGCAGAAGACCGTCTATTATAACTGGATGCAGTATCGTTCCTTCCATTTCTTCTTTTAGAAGTTCATTCATTCGAAGTTCCACTAAAGCCTCTTTATCATTCTTTACCCCTCCTTGCAAAATGGTCATCGCCGGTCCATATTGAAACCCATAAGAAGCTAAAGAAGCATACATGTCTTCTGATGTTACCAAACTCTTACATCTGCTTCGGATATCATCTAACTCTAATTTTTCAACAGCAGATCCACTAGTATAAGATTTAATAGTACCAGTGGCATAAACTGTCGTCCCTTCAAAGATTCTAAATTGTATCTCCTGATTTGTATTTTCTGTTTCTACATCCAGCTCTTTCGATTCTCGGTTGGTTAAAACAAGTGGATTTTTAAAATCAACGCTGATTTCTTCGGATATTAAGCGAGAGGATTTTGTGGCGGCAATAGCTATTCCCACTTCTGCATAGAATGCACCGGGTGCCATCACAACCCCATTTACTTTATGTTCATAGATAGAAGCTATGCGAGACGGGTCTAATAAAACTTTATAATTTCTAGAATCTGAAAGAAGCGATTTCAGAAATGGATGACCATGAATTTTAGAATTAACACCCATAAGTGTTTCTCTTGCTGTATTGGGAATGTAGCAATTTGGAATTCGGTTGAACTGGTATTGTGGAACTCCTATAACTTTTCCTGGACATTTCAGAAGATCCTCCCATTTGATATTTACTCCATTCTCATATAGAATTGCTGCAGCCTTTGTTATAGATATTATTTCATCATCTTTTTGTATTGTTGGTATGGCTAAGGCAACAAGTGGCTGTTCAAATATTTTCCCTAGGTGTGCTCTTAAAATCGGCTTTGGTCCAATTTCTATAAATATATTCATTTTATCTGGATCGTGGACTTCTACTATAGACTGGTGAAACAACACTGGGTTCCTAATGTTTTTCGACCAGTATTCAGACGTGATAAAATCTCCTACACCAGACATTTTTCCGCTTACCGATGATACTATAGGCGTTGTAGGTGGAGTTCCTTGAAGAGTAAATGCAGACGTCAACTTCTCTGCACAATCGTTCATATGGTGCGAGTGAAATGCGCTTGTCACATTTAAATCCACGAATTCCACACGATATTCTGTTTCTTTTAACCGAGATTTGATCAAATCAACGACATCATCATCGCAACTGATTGTGCAACAAGATGGGCTGTAGAACAGGGATATATTCGCTTGTGTTTTGAATGTCTCCATTAAAGACTTTACGTCAGCGATCTCCATATTCCTTACTACAAACATTTTGCCCCCTGTTGCTTCAGCTTGATATTTAGTTCTATGGTAAATAACACAAACTGCTTGATTTAGGCTAAGAGCTCCGGATGCATATGCTGCTGCAACTTCGCCTATAGATTGCCCAACAATAGCATCTGCCACGACACCAAATTCTTTGATCATAGCATATACACCAACCTCACATGCGAATGTCATGATTGGGGCTACATATGGGTCATCCAGGTCAAAGCCTTTCTGAAATGCATCACACAAATCCCATGAAACAAATCGTTTCAATGTATCCGACACATCATTTATAGTACATTTGAATATAGAAGAATGTTTCATTAATGACTGACACATTCCTTTCCAGTTTGTTCCCATTCCAGCGAAGACCAAAATAATTTTCTTCTTCTTAGAAACAGCATCTATCCTGTGTTTGTGTTCAAAGTCAATTTCGTTGAATTTTTGGATAATTTCTTTCATGTTAGTGCCAATAACAGCAACACGAAACGGGAAATGGTTTCGTCTGTACATAGTGGTATATGAAACATCCTCAATTTTATAACCCTCGCCGGTTTTGCAGAAAAGCGATTTGGTCATCTGTAGGGAGGTGCGATCACATGCTGACAAACAGACTATTCTAGGCAACTGGGATATTGATGTGTCGTAATTTTCTGGTCCATTTGACGGGTGCACTGGGGTTGTGATAATAGCATGACTATTAGTACCACCGAAACTAAAACTATTTACACACGATCTCATATACCTATTACCGTTTTTGGGCCAGGGCTGAACTTCTGTTGGTACTTTTAGGTTATATTTATCAAGAGGAACATTCTCACTGGCTTTCTCAAAATGGAGCGATGGGACTATTTCCTGATTTTTATGCATCAATAAAACTTTAATTAAACCCGCTATACCAGCACCCGATTCTAGATGTCCAATGTTAGTTTTTACAGATCCTATTAGTCTCTGTTTAGGATGTTTATCTTTTTGAAAGAATTTACCAAGAGCTGTAACTTCTACTGGATCACCAGCTTTGGTTCCAGTGCCTACAATTGGAAGTGTCAGAATAATCCCAATTAAAAGAGTACCAAATATACATGTATCTGGTGATGTACAAGATTAAACATCGTACGTCATAACATATGCATATAATAATATACTGTTTACAACAGCCACAAAGAATTTAGTAAATGTGCATTTTGTGGTTTGCACTTTTGCGGGTTTTTTTTGTTTGTTTTTTTTTTTGGGGGGGGGGCGCTTTTAAGATCTAAATTGCAAAAGTACAACAACAAGATTTAACTCACTGTTAGCTATGTAAAGTCTGCAAATAATAAATAATAAATGGCAGCTTTGTCAGAAAGATTATTTTTGCGTTATTTAACCAAATCTGCCTTGTTCAGTACTGACTTTAACTCACCATGTGCTTCGATATAGTCTACTGATTCTGGATCAATTCTGTGTCTGTCAAACACTATATTAAGTAGAGATTCTTGTTGCTGGGGAGATGGTGTTGTAATGGGTGTGACTGTTTGGCCATCATGGTTGACAGATGTAACAATAGTTGCCCAGATAGGATCATTATCTTTTAAAGCCTACAAGAAACACGTTTAATCTGAAGTAAATAGTATGTAGAGATTTGGAAAAGTTTGTTATTTTGTAAATAATGTGTACTTCAACACATTCCTGTGGACTTTAACAGGGAAGGAGTAATAGAAGCTGAAGTCGGATGGGTGATTTTACAATTAATGACTGATCAAACTACAAACATTTTATATAATAAAACTCTATGTACCTGTTCTAGTGGTTTCAAGATAATAATTCCACATCCTTCTCCTCTGGCATATCCATCAGCATTTTCAGAGAAAGCCTGACATTGTCCAGTAGGTGATACCATACCAGCTCTACTTAGTTGTATAAATATATCTGGTCTCATCAGTGAGTTGACCCCACCTGCTATAGCCATATCACATTCTCCTGAGGAAAACATAGAACATAATTTTAAAACTAATACTGTAAGTATATTTCATAGATATTGATATTTCATGTTAGAAAGTAATTTTTAAAAGGAAATGTTGTTCCATTATCAGATTTATCGCATGTGAATAGTCTATTTCCATTTTTGTGATTTTGCTGAATTCTTCCATTGGGTATAACCGACTGTGCTTGATTTTGGAATTGTGTTTATTAGAGAATAGTTTGTGCCTTATATTTACAGACAAGACAATCCACCACTTTCAGGTATTAACCAGAGAAAACAACAACAAAATATATTGCACCCATGTCAGTAAATAAGAAATCATAATTATGTAAATCTACCTGAACGTAAAGCTTGACAAGCTAGGTGTATAGCTACAAGAGATGATGAACAAGCGGTGTCTATTTTCATTGATGGACCTAACAAATTGAACACATACGACACCCGGGCAGCTACAATACTATTACTGGTACCAGTCAAAGTATAATTATCGCTTTCATCGGCAGCAGGTGCGAATAAATTGGCATAATCAGAGCCAAACATACCTTTAAAAAATAGTGAATTACATGTCAGTGAAAAAAAAGACATAATTGAAATGTTCATCATATTAGTGAAGTCTATTAAATGTGCAATGCATATAAAATTTGAATATCGAATTTACTGGAATATCACAAATCAAATTTCTAAACGGACATGATTAAAAATATCTGACAGGACTTGACTCTGTTCATCAATATGACTAAAAACTTTACCATGCTCAAAAATCTTTATTTATATTATATTAAGTTACCATAAGTATTTCTACTATAGATAGAGGACTTTCGTTGGCTTAAGATTTTACCCCGCACCTTAATGCACATGTTTCATTGGTCTCAATGAAGTGTGTCGAACACAAAGTGTTCCGACAAAGTGGGAAACAAGTGTCAAGCTATTGTGAGATTCTTACCGGCAATTCACATAATATATCCATGAAAATGAGGACTTAAATTCTGAGATTTATTACATGTGTGTAGATCAATCCCATCAAATAAATTGCGGTACATGCGATTTCATTGGTCAACAGATATAAGCCCTCAAATGTCTTACTACCATAACGGATTGGAATATGTGTTCAGACAATGACACAGGTGTGTGCAAATAGGTATATCAGAAGACTATTATCAAATTTGGAATTTTAGATAACAGGCTCATTTTGCAGTGAGGAAGCAAGTGCAATACCTCTATTTATTGGTGTTCTACATGTACTTATTGTAGAACCCCTTAAACGAGCGAAGTCTCTAACTCAATATTTTCCATAATATTCGAAATCAAAAACACGTATTAGAATTTGTTGAATATTTAACTTGTTAGGATCCTATTATCCAATATTTAAGACACAATTAACATTTTATAATCAGTACACTGGTCGCGTACTCTATGAATCATAGTATGATTTCGGGTTCCATTTTGTAATGAACAAATAAAAACATACCCTATAACACAATGTAGGAAGTAATTAGTAAAGGCTGATTCACAAACGACAAAATAATAATTTGATAAACGTGTAGAATGCACTAAGCAGGCGTAAACGACTGCCGTTCAATTTGAACTGTTCACGTATTTCACCAAACATAATTGATTTGAAAGTACAATATTTTTTTTCAAAAATTAAATATAAATTACTTTACATACATGCATAGTACATTTTCTTTTTGAACCATTTTAGTCTATTTCAAGGTTAAAAAAAATAGAGCCATGCGCCCTTTAAGCTTGGCAATACAAATTTATAGACACGCGATTGTATTTAATTTTACTATGAATATTGGTAATTACCGATATATACTCCTGTGTTAGATCCGCTTATTTTCTGTTTACTTATTCCAGCATTCTCTAAAGCCATAAAGGTACTATCTAATACAAACTTGTGTTGTGGATCCATTTTAAGAGCTTCAAATTCATTGATACCATAGAATTTGAAATCCCATTTGTCATGGCTAAAATAACATATAAAATAGCTTTAAAAAATTATATTCCCTTTTAATTATTCCAGCATTTTCTAGAACCATAAAAAGCTTCCAATTCAAAGATAGGCCAGCCAATTTAAGATTTTACCCCGCAAAATTGCAAGAAAGGGTTTTAATGCATTTTTGCATTTATTTAGTTGCACTTTATAACATCCAAAAAGTTTACCAAATTTTGCCCACCGGAAAGCGGTAAAAATTGGTAAAATCCAAGATGGTCGACATTCGCCTAACCAAATGTTCAAGAAAATCCTAAATGGCTGGTTTAAGACATTATATCTATTATGACCATGACATTACTACATTGTAGAAATTAGCCCATTAAAATTAGCCCATTAAAAGTAGTATGACGTCATTTAGCCATATAATGACAAAGCCTAGTGTACAGGGCTTTGTATAATAACACATTATGACGACCAGCACATGTACGTGCTAAAACATTTAAACGTTTGGATTTATTCCCGATAAATCTATATTAAGATTATTAGAACACTGAAGTGTCTGTAGAACATAAAAATAACACCTGACATTACAATGGCGTAATACGGACAATTTATGGTGCACTGTTATGCCATGTCTTTCTGTGGTTGTCATCTTATAGCTTTTGTAAACTGCCCAGGAAATATTATCATGAAAGTTCATGAACACAGTTTCTTTGGGGCAGCCACATGTATTGAACTTAATAAAAAATAAACAACCCCATGTGACTTAGAAATCATATTGATGACTGCACTCTTCATTCTATGTAGAGCAAATTGGTAAATGTTTCCTTAAGCATATTTTTTCTTTACCCATTTTCCACGGGGTAAGGGTAAATCCTCATAACATGTACACACCAAATATGCCAGTACGCGATGAAGCACCCCGAAAATGGTATAAGGGAGCAATTAACACCACTGGGCATATCTTCAAATGAAATATTGACCCAAAAAACATTAGTTCAGACACCAAAGTTACTATATTATGACGCAGCACTGCATAGTTATGTTCTATTCGCAAATTTGGGGTTTCAGCCGTAGATTGTGGCGTTTCGGTCGCAAGTTGTGGCATAGGGTACATTTGAAGATGGTGTAAGGGATCAGTTAACATCACTAGGTGTATATATCTACAAACGAGAGTATGGCCAAATTTGCTATTTTATGACGAAACAGTGCAGAGATATGCCCAATCGTCTATGTGGGGTCTCCGTTTTTAGGGTAGGGGTACCCCAGAAAATAGCACAAGGAAGCATCGAACATCTATATTGAAGATTGGTACTGGCAACCTACGGCCAATTGTCAGTTTCATTTGTTTCGATTAAAAATTGACAACTTTCTACTTGTCCGAAGTTTTACCTTTTAATGGAAATAATTTTAAAACTTTGGCATTTACCCGCACAATTTGGCACTTTCCTGTACTCCAATTATAGGATTTGGTTCAGTACACCCAACTCTACCAGAAGCCATCAAAAAAAGTTTTCTTGTAATTGTTTGGTGGCTGGCCTCCCTTTTTTTACATAAATTGACTGATGTATTAACCGACCTAACCACTAATCTCAAAATTCGGGACTTTCAAGTATTTCCATTTTGATAAACTTTTAAGATGCCATGCAGTACACCCAACACTACCCAAAAAATTCAAAACTCTTGTCTTGCAATTTTTGGGGGATTGACCCCTTTTTCAGTATTTGTCGTGGCTAAATTGTCATGTAGATAAATAGTTTTATAAAAATGATATTTCTTTAGCAGTTTGGACTGCTACAATTCATTGGCAGAATTAGCTAATATTCGAAGAATTGTTATCAATATTATTTTCATATATGCATTGGATAATGATTACTTGATTACGGTATAAATTATATAAAAAAAATACGAACAGTTAAATACATCACCAACTTTTATTTTTGGATTCTGATATACAAAAGATGGTTGTAAGCCCTTACTAGGTGTTATAATATATAATTATAAATAAGACATACAGTTGTATAAATTATGCAGAGAATAAAACAATTTGATGTGTATCTGATTAAATAAGACATACAGTTGTATAAATTATGCAGAGAATAAAACAATTTGATGTGTATCTGATTAAAATACAGATCCATATTTCGCTTCAGTTTTTTTTATACTTTAGATATCCCCCATTACCGGGTGTAGTGAAGGCAAGTAAAACGAGATTTTGAACTATAATAAATCAATTTAAAGGAGCCAAGTCTTTAAGTCAATATCATCTTCAGTCTTCGACATTGCAAACACGACTTATTGGTCAATTTAAATCAACATTGATGTTGTTATCTTACCGTCAAAAGGTGGGCTTCTGATATCCAATGTTTGAGACACAATGGAAATTTTATAATTGGCACACGAATCGCGTGGCAGAATGCATTCGAGCGTCATTTGTAATGAATCGAATCGATGAAGGAGGATAAACATATTCCACAGAAGAATGCTATCGGTCTAGTCTGGAAAAACCAGACGCCAAAGACTGCCATTTAATTTGTACTCTTCGCGTACTTAAAAATTACAGTAAAAACAGAAATGATTGAATGTAAATCAATTTATATACATTTATATTATATTATTATATGCGTTCCGACCTATTTGTGTCAATTTCTAGGGACCAAAGAACAGCGATTTAGCTCCTTTATGGTTGTTTTACTCAGATTGTGTATCAAAGTAATAAAGACAAAATTGTTGGGCGCATTTTTCTTATTTTAATCTGTCCATTTACCATAAACACATCAGTAATCAGGTGCGGAGAGAAATGGTGTTTAGCTTCTTCTTGACACAAGCTAGGTCATTTGGGGACTGATAAATATGGTTCAATTTTATTTCAATAATTCGCTTGCGCGTAGGGGTCTTTAGCAATGGGAGAAACCCCACGAGGTGGACAGGCGTTCCTACTCCTTGTGAAGGACAACTTGGAATCGAAACCACGCTAGTGTGACTCAATGACAGACCTTATGATACAGCGCGCACGTGCTAACCATTCGACCATCCACCCCCCCCCCCCCTAACCCCCCGGATATATTAACTGTACCACATATAAGCGTAAAGATAAATTAGATTGAACATACCCATCAACAAAACCCGCTCGTCTAACGTGTGTTTTGCCCGGAACTGCAGGATCTGGATCATAAAATGCTTCTAAATTCCAACGGTTTGGTGGAATTTCTATCACGTGATTCTCGCCATTACGTAGAACTCTCCAAAACTCATCAAGATTATCAGCTCCGGGAAACTGACATCCGGCACCAATAATGGCTACCTCACACATTGTTTCCTGAAGCAGAGGAGCATTAGTGAAAATCATATCTGGACTCCATGGAAGACTTATTTAATGAATTCAATCGAAGAATAACTAAATGCATAAGGGTAATTAATACCTTGGTTTATTATTATTTTTAGTTTAGTATGGTCGAGGTTGGTTTATTCCAAATGTTTCGAATTGTTTGCATTAAGGTTTATAGTCCCTAGTACAAAATAATTTAATGTATTACAGGGAAATATTTTATGTTAAATAATGAGTAAGCAATGGTGACACAAACTATTAAATTTACTTACATGCATGATTAATAGCAAATATATAATATCGGACTGCTCAATGTTTTCTTTGTATATGAAGTGTACATATTATAATTGTATTTGTAGTATATTTATTAAATAAGGAGACGGGTTTTTATAAAATACCCTTGGTTTGTTTTTGAATCCTTACCGTTTGACAGTGTATGTATATAATATCTACCTTATTTGAATAAATATTGTTTAAATCATAAGGAGTTGCTGTAAAATTATGACAAGCGGTTGCCCTGCAAGATACGCCCACATTTTCCAAGAGATGGACAGAGGACAAGCTAAAAACGTGAATTTTCGTACAATCAGGGGTCATAATCCTGGAAGGTACAATACCGAAAAGAACCGAGATCTTAAGGTTATAAACATACATTTTAAGTTTCATTACAATCGGAAAAAAATTGTGACCCCCCCCCCCCCCCCAGATTGTCCAAAAACAAATGTGAACGGGCGTTCGGATAACCGTACGTCCGGACGGAAAGGGGCTAGTGTATAATACGTCCACATGTGGGCGTATAAAAATAATTACCATTTATTACAATATCATAACAGAGTTTGTAATATTACTATAAAAACTGTATGGCCACAGATCACTAATTATTTCCCCATTGACTTTAATGTTACTTCTCGTCTCTTAGACCGGCTCTAACTTTTTCCCAAATTTTCGTTGGGTAGAACGCTTTCTGTCACAGATGGAGCAACATGTGGCAAACTCTTGCCCAAAAAGCATGTATGAGGTTCACCATGAAAAACTTGAGATACACAAGCTGGAAGTAGAGACAAATAAACATGCAATTTCCGGCCCTACATTTCAACGTAACCAACCTCACAACTCTTGTATCCTTCCGCCTCAAAATCATGAATATTCACCAAAACCTGGCAGAAAATGTATTTTCAAACCCTTTTTTCGATTCTACACCAAAAAGTCAACAAAAATCGCAATGCAAAAGGGGGAAAAGGGAAAGGGAGAGAGAGACTAAAAATAACTTTGGCCCTTGTTTTGTAGAAATATTTGGTGATCTGTGTCTGTGTAACCACTATGACAATAGGAGTTGTCTTTCTTGCTTTTATCTTCTATTATGTACGTTTTATTAAAAGAAAGAGGAAAGTTTAGAGAATATGATCAAAAGAAAGAAAACCACAAAAATGTGTTGTTTTAAACAAAATACAGGTTTTTTGGATTATTAAGAAGGTTAAATCTATGGATCGGAGTTAAACTACCCGAAAAAAAAATCCATTTTAACATCCTTATTTTTTTTTTTTTTTTTTTTTTACCGGTGCCGGTATGCGAAAAAATGTGTCTAGACCAAATGGTAAATTGAAGTATTTTGTCATATCTTGAGATTGAGGCCGTATTTTGTTGTACGATCACTACCAGTTCCTTTTGTCGTAGAGATTGGAAATTTTTCAGGGGATGCTTTAACCAGAGCAACGCTACCGCTGCACGCACGATATGTCCACATTCCTGCTTTGATTGATATTGGACCTTTTACAATAAGAAAATAAAATATGAAATGGCTGCAACGACTGTAGTATGACAAGTGACAAAAAAGGCTAGGCGTTGAGTTTGTTTTGCCAAATTTACAGACTAAATATTAACAAGTAAGTGGCTGTGACACCGCCCCTTAGGGTCGGACGTGCACCAAAATCAATAGTTACTGTTCTTTTGATATAAAGAATACATATGTCAATTTCCAAGATGATCCATTCACGATTGATCAGGCCGAATTTGAACAAAATCTCATAATAATTGCAACCTGTAAAGTATTTACAGACAAAATGTTAACCAAAAAGTGGGTGCTGTAACGCCCAAGGGGTTCGTATTATGCACCAAAATCAATAGTTGCCATCCTTAGGATATAAGGAATAAGTAGACCAAGTTCCATGTTAAATCATTCAGAATTGCAGATTTAAGCTCTGTCCCTAGGGGTTGGACTTGGATCAATATAGATAGGTACAACCATGTTATTGACGTGATTGATCAGGCCGAATTTGAACAAAATCTCTAATAATTGCAACCTGTATAGTATTTACTGACAAAATGTTAACCAAAAATCTGATGTTGTAACGACTAAGGGGTTCGTATCATGCGTAAAAATCAATAGTTGCCATCCTTAGGGTATACGGAATAAGTAGACCAAGTTCCATGTTAATTCATTCAGAATTGCAGATTTAGGCGATAACAAAAACTTAGGGCGTGTCTTTGTGCCTGGGGGTCGTGGCATGCACCAAAATCAACATGGGTGACATAACCGAAAGTACTGTACTTGAAAACTTAGAACAATCACTGGATTAGTAAGAGGTACATTTCTTAATTCGCTTGAAATTAGACGATATGATCATAAACTAACGCTGTTTTACAAATGGTGAATAAAATGTCCCCAAGTTACTTTTTTTTATCTTAGTTTCTCCCAAATCCTCGGATATAAACCCTTACCAATCTGTATCGAAATATTCCTGCAAATACTAGATATTATAAAATTGCCATAATGAACGACTGGAACAATGTCCAAATTTTACTTACCCATGTTAGATTCAAAATTCTAAATACATTACCAAATATTTTTATAAATTTACAAACTCTAACCAACGATGATAGTAATAATGCATTGCAAATCAATACGCGCATTTTTAATACAGCGCACGAATTAATACATTTACCTAAAAGACTCCAATAACTATTGTAAAATACTAATGGAATCAATTACTTTCTCGATTACTATACACCATACGATATAAAGCGTATTGTGAAATGATAATGCAATAGAAGAGACACAAACTATTAAATTTACTTACATGTACGATTAATAGTAAATATCGTACTGCTCAATGGTTTTTGTATAATATGAAGTGTACATATTATAATTACGTGTTTCGGACCTTCGGTCAAAACACGTATTGTTTCTGTAAGTGTTTTTGTTAATTTTTTTTTTGGTTTTTTTTTTTTTTGGGGGGGGGGGATTTAGTCAGTTTGTGCAGCCAAAACTGTACATGGTGCAAATATTCTGCCAACGTAGATGTGGTTGGCCTCCGTGGATCTATTTATTAAATATGAATTAGGTCATTTTTGATCAACAGGAAGTGTTTTACGGATGGGACAAAAAATAATCTCTGATTGTCTATATCTCAGTTATTTCTCAATGGATCTACTTCGCGATTTAGTCAGTTTGTGCAGCCAAAACTGTACATGGTGCAAATATTCTGCCAACGTAGATGTGGTTGGCCTCCGTGGATCTATTTATTAAATATGAATTGGGTCATGTTTGACCAACAGGAAGTGTTTTACGGATGGGACAAAAAATAATCTCAAATTGTCCATATCTCGGTTATTTCTCAATGGATCTTCTTCGCGATTTCATTTTTGGATTCTTTGGACTGGCGTTTTTTCGAAATTCGGAAGTTCGCTCGATTAATATTAGCATCAAAGATTTGAGAAAGTTTTCTTCATCATTTTTTCCACATTCAAGATAGCATATCTCCGTCAAGTTGAAACTTGGTAGGAATAAGTAACACGTCGATGCCTTCAAAATGACATTTTAAACAAAATTTGTGACGGCTTCCGGAAATTACCGTGACCTTCCGATTTTCCCGAACATGAATAGTTCTCTCCATTTTAAAAATAGACAAAAAATGACATATAGTGGTGTTAGCCGCAGATATTTCATTTTCAAAGACCTTGTTCCATAACATTGTCAACCAGTTGGCCTCCATATTGGATTTTACGAAAAACATTCAAATTAATATTCAGCCGCCATTTTAATTCCAATTTTCGAAAACTTTGCTTTTGTATTAAACCTACTCCAAATGGCAACAATCCTTACGGAGCCGATGTTTTAATTTCGATATTGTTTACTTCCGGTTTCACTTTAAAGTTGTTTCGACTATTCACCATCTAGATGGTCACCTTAATTTTTCCATGACCCTTGACCTTTGTATGTATGATGACCCTGATGTCTACTAGCTATTAATATATAAAAAAAGTTAGGTCATGAAGTATAACTTCCGGTTTTATTAAGAGTTCAAAATGACAGTTTTTTTCCACTTTAATAGGTATTGGATGTTGCTATACTCAATAATTCATGGTGTAACTTTAATGTTGATGTGACAAGGGGTGACGTGACGCGACGTGACGTGGCATAGCAAAACACGTCAGTACTCCTAAGGAGTTCTAGTTGTATTTGTAATATATTTATTAAATTAGCAAACTTGACGTCCCTTTAATTAATTAAACATGCATTATGCAAGAGCTAAATCTGACTATTGCAGGCCTTTCTTTAGACCTGAAATGTCATTTAAATTATTAATTAGACATTAATTAACTTATCCAGACCATAATCAACTCTCGGTGCCATCGTTATCCTGTGATATTTAATGGAGTTGAATACATTTTGTGATGGATAATTTAACGTAAAAATGGACAATTGATATATTGTTTATTATCGTACCAACGTTAGTAATGACGATCGAGGATAGTCTGAAATTGAATCACTAATATCTCGTTTTTCAGCATATTCTGTTCCATTATCTTTCCTTTAACTGTTATAGCGAGAATTGTCAGCTCTTTATCTAATCTTACCTAATGCTCCTTTAATCAAATGTTAACTTTTAACGAAAATATTTAAAAATGTATTTGAAAAGTCAATATCATATGAAGAGAACCAAGAGAAGAACGATCAAAGTAACACCGTACGTCCGGACGGAAAG